GTGATCTCTCAACCATAATGAGATAATAAAGGAACCAGTTTGTATGTCCACAAACTGACATCACCTCTTCATATCTTTTTCAATACAGAAGATATCTATTTGCCTTTCACTTACTCTGTACACACCCAGAGATTATTATGTCCCTGGTAATATTCTAGGCCTCTGGGATTCAGCAAGAGGAAGAAAGGAAGGAAATGATTTCTGTCTGAAAACTAACAATAAATCTAAAAAATAAATTACGGATTAAGAAGACACTCATAGAGAAAAAAATGCAGGACACTGTAAGAGGAATAAACTGTTGGTGTGAGGAGCTATCTGTTTGCAGTTCAGAATAAGGATATCAGGGCAAGCTTTGTGGAGAAGATGATAGTTAATCAAAGACATGAAGAGAGTGAGGAAACAAGCCACATGTGCATCTGGAGGAGAGATACTTTGCAAATAAGGAAAAGCCAGTGCAAAGGATCTAAGGGAGCTTGGAATAGTCAGGGAATGGAAGGAGGCCAGGAGGGGTCAGTCAGGAAGCTGCTGCAGGCATTCAGCCGAGAGACATCATTGTTGCTTGGACTGTGGAAAACGTGAAATATGGCCATATTCTGAATGTATGTTGAAAGGAGTGCCAATAGAATTTCTTCCCAAAAGCCATTTTTTTTGATATTGAAAAAAATTCAATATTCACATTAGTAGGCCATGGTTAAGAGAGGAAAGAAATGAAAAAAATAAGGCGCTACTTACTGAGTGCCTACTACAAGCCAGGCACTGTGCTGAGCTTTGCAGCTATCACAGCAGCAAACTGATAGCAAAATGATGGGGACAGCCAACACTCGTCTCTAAACTAATGAGTTTCCAATTCTTCTCTTGAATATTCTGCTACCTGAAATTCCTGTAATAATTAAAACATAAAGAACTCTAAGTGTATGGATGCTAAAGAGCAAAAAGTGGAAGTACATTGTCACCAGCTCTTTGAACAGGCTCCTAAAAGCTTAGTTGTCAGAGAATCCTAAAATGAGTGAAAAAAATCCATAAGATAAGAAAACTTTGTCTGAAAAAGCATTTCCCAAAAGACATTTACAAGTGGACAAGAGCCCAGGAAGCAAACTTCAAAATAGAAAATTCCTGGGAAAGCAAAGCTGCCAAATAAAACCCTTATTTGTAACAAAGAAAGGGGGAGCAGTGAAATGTTATTTATAATCGTTTGCCGGAGTTACATGGAAGGCCCTCCAGTCGCTTATTCACACAACCTCAGTTACCCCAGACCTCGAATTGTGCTTCTCTGTCCTCTGCTGAACTCAGGAACCCAGATGTACTGGAATCTTTAGTGCTCAGTTTTCTCAAGAGCAGTACAGTCTACTAATAATAGATATTTCATGTGGGCTATGTGCCACGCAAATATTAACCTGTATCATTATCATAACAACCAAACGAGGTAATCACACTTGCTTTCCCCAATTTATAATTAAGAAACTCAAGTCAGAGGGCTTCAGTAACGTTTCCAGGGTTGCAGAGCGTAAGTGGTGAAACCCAGTTTCCAATACAGAAGGGTGAAGAGGCTTTTTTGTCACCTTTCTGAAAAATTATGGTTTCTGCATAATAGTGAGATCACTGTCTGCAAGGACTGAAATATAAGATTATATTCTGCAGAGAAAATTTATCAATTATTCCTTAATATTTTTCCACAGTTGTGATGAGGTCTGAAATTTAATTCCAAACATATTTTCTCACTGTTTCCCAAAATGTCCTCCTTCTGCCAGATTGGACTTCATGGTGCTGCCTATCCCTTGTCCCCATCTTTTCTGGAAGCCTTGATTCAGACCTCTATTCTCTATTACACCATTTCCTCACGTCCCTGCCTACTTCAAATGCCATGCCTTGCAATCTCTTTCACATCTTATTTGGTCATTCTGGGTCATAATGCCCTTTCCCTTAAAGGGCATATTTCTCTACTGCTGATTCTGGGCTTAACGCATTGTTATTGAAATGTTTGTTGTAAATGTAGCTGGGGTGATAGTTAAAAACAAAAATTGGATGTAGAAAGATGCATTGATCATTTTCTATGACTAAACCTTGCACTGCTCATGGTTTCCCTTCCCTCTCAGTACCAGGACAAACCCAAAATCGTTTAATCTTGCCAATTGAGAAAAACTGTCAATTCCAGATTAAAAATTGGTCTTTTCTGAAATTTATCATTAAGAGATTTAGTTAATAAGGGATTTCTTCTCCTCACCTCCACTTCCCTTCTCACTGGGTAACACAGAGTTTGAGGAGGGGCTCAGATAATAATCAAGGTAGGGAAGGGGTAAGGACTGGTGCCCCCGAAGCCCGCACTGTTTCCTGGGTCAACCACTGCTAGCCATTGAAGTTTTTCATGCCTTCATGAGGGAGGCTGATGTTCAGAGTCCCTCGTTTTCAACTGACCTAGTCAGGTCCTCCTTATTCAGATGGTAAAGACTTGCTCAATTCCCTGGCTTTCTCTCTTGCTTCTGGGCCTTTCTTGGGGACACAAGAAATGTTTGAAAACTCTCCCAAAACTCATAGTCTTTGCAAGAGTAGAAGACCATTTCAGACTCCTTTTTCCCTAGTCTCACTTTCCCTCCCTTCCAATATGTATTCTGGCCCCATGCTGAGTTCTCTAAGAAGGATGTGGTATCCTTAGACCATGTCCTGAGAAAAAAGACACAAATCCTTTGTGCTCCAGGATCCTTCTAAAAATGCCTGTTTTATGTTTTCCCTCCAGGTCATAGGATGTGGCCTGACAAGAGGACAGTGGGAGGCGTTGCTCATTAATCTTTAAATTCTTGTTCTCCTTTTTCTTTACCAAGTTCTATGCCTACCTCCTACAGCGTAAAGGGGGTGTTTCTGTTAATGCGGTGAGAATAAAAATGACTGACTTTGTCTCATGTTCTTTTCCACTTTGTACTTTACTTATTAAAATCATCTTCTGAATCCTTCAGACTTAGCTCTTAATAATCAATGCTAAGATGATCATGTTCAAAGTTGAGCACTGATGCTTTTCCCCGTTCTTTGTATGAAGTAACAAGCCTACACTGAAGGTGGTACCTATAAAAAAACATTAATGAGGCCTGAAGGAGAGGAAGGGGTAGTAGTGAGCAACATTGAAAACCACCTGATTTAAAATAAAAAATTTATTCCACTAGTATGTCTTTTTTCACTAACTAATATAAGCTCTCTCTAGGCACTGATTTATGCATCTTACATATTCCCAGAAGCTACGCATTTAGTATTCTTGACTTGAGTGAATAAACAAAGACAAGACAAGAAAAGCAGATATTCAGAAATGTGTAAAATGCCTTACAGGCATTGGAAAGAGGAAGATGAATGCTAATAATTGTACTAATAATAACTGGTAGGCTCTGGGCTTGGCATAAATTTACTCATTTAATCTTCCAAACTCTTCTGTGAGTTAGGTACTATAACATAGCACACAAAGGTGCAGCGATGTGCCTGGGGCCAAACACTAGAACTTTGGGGAGCAGAATTCCACCCCAGGCACTCTGGCTGCATTATCTGACCTCTTACCAACGATGCCAGTGGCACCTCTCAGTAAAATCCTTTTTTATGGATATGCCAGTTGGAGCATACAAATTAATACCAAACCATTCAATGCATGTTACACAATCTCTTCTTGGCCTCCAACCACTTTGAACTTGAAACTATTTTTTTATATTTATTCCTGAAAATCTTCCCTTGAAAATATTAGAGGTTGAGATAACTGCTTCTTCCTACTTTTATACATGGTTTCCTCCTTTCTCTAAAGAAAGATGTCCACACAGTGGACTTTCAGTGTGTGTGTATTTTAATTTTAATGAATATGTCTTTATTTCTCATTTCTTGAATGCTGGCCTAAGGAACTGATCTTTCTAACTCGTATCTTATGCCAGTTATACCTATCTGTGCCTTTTCATTCTACTTTATTTTCTTCTCTCAGGGCATTTTCTAGGTTAATTTTCCAGGCTGTCCTATCGTTTGTGACAAAGCCTCCTTTTACTCCAGTGAATGTTGCAGCTACCCACTGCATGGACTTTTCTTCTCTATTACCGCTCCAAAATTGCATCCAAACTATCCTCCTTACATCTGAAATGGCTTCAAAATTTCTTCTACATCTGCTAAAATCCTAGTTTCCTATGTGCCAAAACCTGTAATAAGTATCAGGTACTTATGAACATTTTGTAATAAGCAAGAGCACATCAAAGCCTAACAAGCAAACTCAGCATCCCTGTCCCCCACCAAATGCTGTGTCCTTATCTGGATCTGTGTCAGTACATTTCTTTCATGCAGGTCAAAAGCTCTCCAGTGACAGGAACCAGGACTGCTCAAACTTAAGCCAATGTTATACATTCCATGGATGTTCAGCAAACAATAATCAAAGACAATGATGATGGTGACACATTGGTTCCAGTTGGCCTGAAGTTAATGTTACAAATGGGATATTATAGCCTCCTGTGTTTATGCTAAATCAAGGGTATCATGATTTAAAGAAACACAGGAAAATGTTTTTCATAGTGCAAAATTTTGAACAGAAACCTAAGTTTTACTAATTCTTCTATATTTCAATTGTTTATCCCTTTCTGATTATTTGGAAAGAAACTCTCAATTGGATGACTATAGCAATAAACACCACTCATTAATGTCTTGGCTTATAAAACAAAACATACTTGTTAGTTTTCATATTAACATCTTGGTAAGTGTCCAGATGGGAGCAATGGAGTTATACTACCATATCAATTATGAGACCAAATTCTTCAACAGAAATAACGAGAAAATAATCTGACCTTGCTTTGCCCCATCTAGCTCAAAAATAAGAAAGCAAGGAATCAAATTTGGTTATAATACCTATAAATTAAAAATCAAGCCCATTTAGTTGTTTGGCATTTTTAAATGAAGTTTAATTGCAAAAATTATATATTTATATTTAATTTATCCTCCGAAAAATAACTAAGAATCAATACACATTCATTTTAAATACATAAACAAGCATAGGAGAGTGGCAGGCCTGCACTGGTATTCTCACTGTCCCCATGATACTGCACTCTCTCACACACACATAAATATGTGCATGTGCGTACACACAAACGCATAAAAGATTAGTATCTAGCCTCCCAGGTAAATGACTGGAGCATTTTATTGTCAGTTGAAGATTTCCCAAATTAAATTGAAAGAAAACTATTTAAAACCCTGCAAACAAACTGCCCGTCAATAATCCCCACCCATGCCCAAAGAGCTCCCAATCAGCATTTCAGTGCTTTACTTCTGAACAAAACCGACCACAAATTCTAAATATTTGACTAATTCTCCAATCTGAAATTTTTAAAAAATATACTAAGTAGACAAAATAGAAACAGACCCAGAAACAAATTTAAAAAACATATAAAGTGTTAATCAGTGATTTCACAGAGATATGAAAAGATGTATCAGTCGAAAAACATGGGTGGTAGACGTAAGCAGAAATAATCATAAAACTGGCTGGTAGAGAGAAAGATTTTAGATAATCTTTTAAAAATAAAGCAGAAAAGCAAATCATAGGACACTATGAGCAGGGGGCTGGGGAAGTGAGATGAAGAGCTGAAAGATCAGTCAGTCCATGATGTCTAAATAAAGGAGACTCTAAAAAGAAAGAATAGAAAATGAAAAGAGGGAATTATCAAAAGCATAACAGAAGATAGTTTTCTAAAAGTGAAGGAAATGGATCTTGATTGAAAGCAGACCAAATTGCAAGATCAAAGAATGAAATTATACACATTCCATTTTCAGAATACCATAAATAAAGCCATCATTTCTAAAATCTTCCAGGAAAAAAAAATAACAGAAACAGAAATTATATTTCTCAACAGCAAAATCAGATAACAGAAGACATTAGTGCAATTCCTTCAAATACAAAAGTATTGCTTTTTATTTAAAAATCATAATGGAGGCTTATTTTATTGAATTGGGAGAATTCTTTTCATATACAAGGAGTAAAAAAATTTACACTATGTCCCTTTCTCTCAAGAAGTTCTTGGAGGTGACATCAGAAAAATGGCAAAAATAGGAAGTAATTAATTGCCTATTCTTTCTCCCATGGATATACTAATCCCACAGCAATACACAGATCACATACGTTTGTGAGAAGTCCAGAAGTCCAGGAGTAGAAAGACTCCTGCCTGGATAGATGCTGAATGAGCCACACCTAAACTGATAGAAAAATTAGAGATATCCTCTCACCATAATCCCCATCCCTGGGACAGTGCTTTATGATCAGGAAGGAACCTCTAGCTCTCAGTTTTTCCCTGAAGAGGGAAAGAGTTGGATTGCATAACCGACTTTCAATTTTCCCAGGTAATACTCAAGGGGCCAGCTCTTGTCTTGCCTGTCTAGGAGCACAGACATGGCCTGGCAAACACTGGACCCTGGGGACTATAAAGAACAAAGATGGCAGTTTGAGCTAGTGCCTGGGCATTCACTACAGCTTGTCCCCTAGCTCAATGCAGGTGATTGGGCATTCAAAAAACATTTCCTGGCTTTATCCTGGAGAGGGAAAGAATTGGCCCACATGTCAAATGTTCCAATGATTTCAGGCATTGTCCAAGGGACTGGATTTATTTTGGAGTGCTGATACGACCTGGCATACTCTAGAAACCTAGAGGCCACTAAAAACAGAGTGGCAGTTTGAATTACCACAAAGTTTGAGAGGCCTACAGAATCTCTGGCCAAATTGGTGAAGATTTTACTTTGTATAAGGCCAATCCATGGATTTATCATAGTTTTATTCATAATTGCTGAAACTTGGAAGCAAACAAGATGTCCTTGAGTGGGTGAATGGATAAATAAATGATGGCACATTCCGACAATGGAACAGTACTCAGCACTAAAGAGAAATAAGTTACAGAGCCATGAAAAGATACACAGGAACCCTAAATCCATATTACTGAGTGAAAGCTGAAAAGGTTGTGCACTGTATGATGCCAACCATATGACACTGGGAAAAGGCAGAAACTACAGAGACAGTAAAAGGTCAAGGGTTACCAAGATTGGGGGTAGGGAGATGTAGCTGTGCAAACAGAGGAGTTTTAGGGCACTGAAAATACTCTCTATGATACTATAATGACATGTCATCATAATTTGTCCAAATGTGTCAAATGTATAACACCAAGAGTAAACCCTAATGAAAACTATGGACTTTGGGTGATTATGATATGTAAATGTAGGTTAACCAATTGTCACAAGCATACCACTCTGATGTGGGGTGTTAATAATGTGGGTAGCTTTATATGCATGGGGGAAAAGGTATATGAGAAATCTATACTTTCTCCACAATTTTACTGTGAATCTAAAAATAGTTTTTAAATAATAGAGCCATTAAGACTTTTTCAGACAAACAAAACCTGAGGGAGTTTATCAGCACTAGACTTGCCTTACAAGAAATGCTAAAGGGAGTTCCTCAACTTGCAAAAAAATAACACAATAGCATAAGAGTATATGAAACTTTTTGGAAAAGGTGTTGTAGTAGACAAATACAGAATATTCTATTAATGTAATCATGATGAGTACATCACTTTTAAGTCTAGTATAAAAGTTTAAAAACCAAAAGTACTAAAAATAAGTATAAAATATATGTTAAAAGATATACAATATAACAGATTTAAATTATAATGTCAATAACATGAAGTGGAAGGGGGACTAAATGTGTAGAGTTTTGTATGCTATTGAAGTTAAGTTGTTATTAGCTTAAAATAGACTATAATAACTATAATATATTTTATGAAAGCTCCATGGTAACCAGAAAGAAAATAACTATAGAAATAATACAAAAAAATAAAAAATAAAGGAATCAAAGCATACCAGTACAAAAAAAAATCAGCAAAACACAAAAGAAGACAAAAAGAGGAAAAGAAGGATAAAAGAAATACAAAACAAACAAAATGATGAACAAAATGGCAATAGTAAATCCTTCCTATAAAGAATTTATATAAATGTAAATGGATTAAATTCTCCAATTAAAAGTCATACAGTGGCTGAATGGATAAGAAAGCAACATCCAACTGTATGCAATTTATAACTAA